ACATGCACGTGCTATGTTTAATATGATTCCGAAGGAATAGACAATGGAAATTAGGCGAGTAAATAGCACAAATAAAGCGCTATGAAGACTGTAGATTTTTTCACCCCATGCCTTAGTTGGATGAATAAAATTTTCTATTATTTGTAGGCTTGTACAGCCTATTTAAAATGTGACGCAGAAATAAGAATTAATCGCATTGTTTAAATTTCCATTAATTTGAAGAAAAGCAGTAGGCCCAATAATTTTCTCTTCCGCGTCTTTGCATACGTCAGTGATTCCTTAATCAGGGATTCAACATTCATAACCCGATCTGCGAAGTAAAAAGTTGGCACGCGTCTTCTCGACCTGTTTCTCTTTGCAGAGGATAAGTATTCGGTGGCAGCTACTGAAGCAGAACGAATTTATGAGCTCGTACTCTATTAGTCGGAAGCAGTGGTGATCGTATCCCGACCTTCATGACCCTCACTGCGCTCTGTGGGATGAGAGCCCGCCGTGACCAAAAGAAATGTGGGAAGCCTTACTTCATGGAAGCAGTTGTACTGTATAAGAGACGAAGATTTTTGCGGTTTCCTTTCAATATTTCTCGATTCTCATTATTATTATTATTATTATTATTATTCCTTCCATATTAGGCCTCCTGGCCTTTCTTCCATCAGAGTTAATCTGAAACCAATACAGTTGGTAGGACTTCTAGGACGGGGGATCAGCCTTGTCGCAAGGTTGCTACCTACAAAGAAATACAAACTCTCTGGCCTGTAGTCTGCAAGCGAACTATACCGACCGAGCGACCGCCGCTTATCGGCGAAGTTAGTGCCAACTTTTGCCGATATAAGGTGTCACGTGGTCAGCGCAATGGATTCCCACGGCCGTTAATCTCGGTTTTCTAGACCGGAACCGCTTTGTCCTTCAAATAGCTCACGACGTTGAGTGGACCCCGTTCCAGACCCACTACTTCTCAGAAAATCTGGTAACGCGGGGAATCGAACCCGGGACCTCTGGATCTGTAGGCAGAGAATCTGACCACTAGACCACATAGAGAAGGGAGGTTGCTACTTACACAGGACAATATACACACATACCTCTATGCCTCCAGTGGGATTCGAACCCACGATCCCAGTTTGAAAAATGAGCTGGCGAGAGACATTTCATTCGGTCTCTCTAATCGGCTATTTCTAAATTTGGGGGATTAAATATTGATTAATTATCAGTCAGTTCTCACAAAAGCCATATTGCTGGTGCGAACTATGTAGGCTTAGTTGTTATTCTTCATATCACTTCTTACCTATGTTGCTGATGTTTGTAACTTAAAGAAATGTAAAGCTGTTTACAGTCCTGTTCTCTAAATATATGCAACTTCCGTTAATGTCGCGTTCGTCGAGTTTGTGTAAGTAAGTACTGCATCGCGATTGCGCAGTAAAGTAGGCGTGCACTGTTAGAGTGATGTCTGATGAACCATCGTATCTTGGCATAGTATGGAAATCGACCAGGAACATACTTGCAGCAGTTAAAAGATTGTGAAATTGATTGGACTTCTTCAGAATAGGGTTTCATTGGAGACTTTTGTGATGAATATGTCGAACATGGTCCCATAACAACCGATAATTAGATCCTCAATCATCAGCTGGCAAACAGCTGCGTAAGAAATAATTTGTATATAATATACAGTCCGTGTAATTGTTCAGTCAAACCCACTTCATTCACGATATGTACGAAGTTGTCGCAAACATGTCGCTCTGAGTGGACACCGATATATTGTTGACCTCCTATTTACCGCTAGCCGGAACATGTCGTAAAAGCAGTTCACGTATGTTTCTCTGTCTCACAGCAGAACAACACTGTCAGGAAATGAAAAAGTAATAAAGTTCGCTTGCAAGTTTTTGGTATCTTAGGGATAGCCATTTATGATTAATTAATATGTGGATTTCAAATCTATTCAGTTACATCATGGTGCATTTTTCTTTTCTTTTTTTTTTCGGTGATGCATTTCTGAAGACCTCGCACAATTCGAGACAAGTTTTATCATAGGAATAAATGTAAAATGAAGGAGATAAGTTCTCGGGAGCGCGTAAAATTACAGCCATTGTAGCGTAAAATGATATTTTAAAGCTAAATATTCTCAGCCCGCCAACTGTGAAACATATGCGTGATTCTTGCTGAATTTGCGGGGATTCGCATTATTTCAAACTTTACACATCAAGTGAGAGTTTAATTATATTCTTTATGTCGCACTATTTCAAGTTCGCAAAACTGAAATTCGCATAAAATGCGCCCGCGCTGTTGTTTGCTACAATCCGCGGCTCGTTGTGAACTAGCCTTTTTATTAATGGGACCCAGTGCCTTATCCGTGTTTACATCCTCTGCATACGAATTGAGAAATAAGTTAGTTTTAGAGGAGGTGACATTCATGTGTTTTCATATGAGAGAGAACGTTTGGGAATGGAGTTCCACAGCTCGCCGAGTGACGGCGCTCCATTGTGTGCGAAACTGTGGACTGGTTTCAACTTCCTGACAAGCCCATAATTAATAGAAGTTTTAAAATTACTTCTCCTCAGTGCCATTAATCTCACGAGCAGGCTTGTGCAATGCCATACCTAATTAGGAGTTCCAAACCTGACCAAAAAATGTTTCAAATAATTTAAGGTGTCGCTGAGTATCAATATGTGTTCGCAATGGATCTCTATCCGCGTAAGTAAAGTTCTCCCCTGCTTGATTAAGTACAACGCCATGAAGACGTATGGGGGAGTGGACGTATAATTACAGCATTCTTAATTTCGACACTAGATGGAGTTGAGTGATCAGCTTCAAACTCCTACTCCTTTACCCCTGGGAAGAGTGCCCCCGATATCCATTGAATAGGGGGCTGGGTGGACCGCAAGGCCGGTATGAACGCTGTGGAGAAGAGACAAATCTCATGCCCTGTTTGGAATCAAACCACAATTTTTCGGCCGTCCAGTCCGAATCCCACCACTTTACCGACTGAGCTGTCTCGGCCTTTCTATATCTGGGTGGGCTCTTCTAATAACTTCTTAATTTGAACCTGCCAAGTTCTTTTTCTTTTTTCATTGGCGCTACAGCCCTCATTTGGGCCTAGGCCTACCTCCATGAAACTCGCCATTCACTTCGGTTTTACTAGATCTTAGACATACGGTAGGACTCCTTGGGCGGGTGATCAGCTAGTCGCAAGGCCCCAAGTTCTGTTTAATATGCTGAATTCGTTAGCTGAAGTTACCTTGTTAAGACTATGACAATCAGAAGACACCGTATACGTGTATGTGCTCTTCATTGCAAGGGTAATATACTGCTTTGTGTGAGTGTGGGGGAGGCTGACTTTCGCCACAATTTTGTTAGCCATCTGAAGTCAGATATTAAGAACTGGTTCGAGCTATTAAGACGCAACTTACATCCTTCGATGTCGGAGAACCAAAAGGAAATGAATAAACATAAATATGAGAGAAAGGCCGGGATAGCGCAGTCGGTATAGCAATTGGCTGAGGGTTGGAAGTTCGTATCCAGGAAGGGGCAAGATTTTTTCTCTCATAACGTCGTCCAGACCGGTTCTTACGCCTACCCAGATACAGGGGACTCTTTCCCCGGGAGTAAAGCGACCGGGGCGTGATGCTGACTACTCAACTCCATCTAGTGCCGAGGTCAAGAATATTTGGATATGTACACCCCCTCCGCCGTACGTCTACATGGCGTAGAGCTTGATTGGTTAAGCACAGGAACAACTTTTCCTTTCTGTTTATGAGAGAAAGGCGATGTTCAGAGAGTTCAGAAAATTGTACAGAGAGGAAGCTCGTCATCTCTGCTCTTCGTATTTAAATTCGGGAAGTTGAGGAATTGCCGATCCCAATAGCAGGGCATCCGACGTCTTTTTCTTTTTCAACTTCTTTATTGGGCTTTGCTACATGTTTCGGCTATTAGAAGCCATCATCAGGCAAATACATGGCTAACATATGTACACCACTGAACTGCAGTACTAATAAAATTGGATACAATAATATTAATATATTAAAATACTTGACGTAAAAATACAATAAATTGGATATATAAAAATCAAAAGTTATAGTATAAAACAAGAATAAAATTCTTCGATTGATGCTTTACATCATCGAGTCAGTCGTTGGTTTTTGTGATTTTGTTTCGTTCCCACGGACAAATTAGAGTATTCTATATTTTGTATATAAAAACTGTTATTGGAGGCTCGTGATGTAGATGTTGTAATATAAATGTTAATTATTTAGTCGGTGCCTCATCTTACAAAGTACTGTCCGTTCTGCAGGGAATGTAAACAACGACTTTTTCTTTATTGCTAGTGGGGTGGGACTAAGTCCCTTGTACTGCGACCATTTCTGGCCTATTGTACCAGCCCCAGATGATAGGTGAGGGTGATTGTGGAGCCGTTGGTGGAGTGAAGATTGGCAGGGGAAACCGAAGTGCTGGGAGAAAACCTGCCCCAGAGCCACTTTGTCCACCACAAATCCCAGTTGACCAGACTCTGGTTCGAACCCGGGCCGCCGCGGTGGGAAGCCAGCGACTAACCGCTTGAACTATGGAGTGGCCCATCCGACGTCTTAGTGTACGGCTCTTCCTGCTTTATATTCGGCCTATAGTTCTTTTTCTGGAACTATGCGTTAGCGATTTCATCTTATGATAATAGCTATGTTGTACTTATATGTAAATTTGTCCCTGTTCTCAACGAATTAAGCACTGTGCCATGAAGGCTTATGGGGGAGTGGATGTCTTTCGAAGCAAAATTGAACTCAGCCAACAACTTTTTGTAATTAATTAGAGATTTCCACTTTTACTTTTAATCTAACAATCTTGACTAGTTTCGAAGGTGAAACATATGAACATATGCAATTTCCCCACTTTTCGATGATTTTGTTGAATAATGTCCAAACAAATTATCTTCACAGCTACAGGTTCTGTTAACTTGTTAACTCGTGGCAGGGCCTGTAACGTGTATCTAACTGGACACATGTTTTTTTCTGTTGTAGGTGGCTCTGTGATGACAGAAGAGGCGAAAGACACCCGAGAAGGGGAGAACGTGTCCTTAGAGTGCCGGTTCGCACCCCAGCTAGTTAGCGGTGGACAGGACAACACGACATTCTACTGGTCTCGAACCAACAAACACAACAAAGACAGCGTCGCCATCCACCACACGCCACTTGACCCCAACTACAGAGTGGACTTCAGGCCAGACCAGGGCCGCTACGACCTCCGGATCACGAACGCCAGCTACGATAGGGACAACGGCAAGTTCGAGTGTCGCGTTAAAGCTTCTGGGAGCGGTCGAAACATTCACTTCCAGGCCTTTGCCCTCACAGTTCTCACACCGCCAGGTCCTCCGCAGATTTCTCCAGGAATCAATCCCACGTCCACCGAAGGAAAAACCATGGAGCTCACGTGTTCTAGCACCGGCGGCAGCCCGGATCCTGTTATAAAGTAAGTCTCAATTTCATTATCACCGTTACTCCCGGATATATCCTTTCGACTTTCACTATACCACTACTGCATCACGCATAACGTAATTCAGTAAGTTGTTCCTACTGTAACTGCTGCGCCCGGATGTCATTCCCTTCACACAAATATGCTGTCTGTTCTCTAAGTCATTAGTGACTTAGTCATTAGTCCTGATCTAAGTCATTCATATCCGTTTGGCTTTCAGAGTGTCACTGGTGGTTCACATAGATACTTTCCGTACTCCGTGTCACTATTTTCCGATCTCTAATCCTATTACGTAACGAACCCTACTGCTACGACCGGATATATCCGCTCGATTTTCACTGTGCCACAATTGTTCACACAAAAATATTCTGTAAGCTTGTTCTGTATTCAGTCACTGTTCTACCAGTATAAATGCCTTATATTGAGTGTTTCACTATCGTTGTACTCGTACCAGTTCGTACAATCCGCTTCGACAGTCTCCAGACAATCTTCTTCGAAAATCGCCAAGGACAATTCAAGAGTTGAGACGTTCCGTAAATCAACATCTTTGAGCCCGTGTAGCGTGAATTTATTCTTAGCTTGCCACGTCACTTTGAATTCAAATGTCTTTTTACACATTCAACAGTAGTTCACAAACTGTGACAATGTCGATTATAGACTTATTTGTTCAGTCCTCTGTTATTATCTCATCGCCTGTGCGCTGTTCGTTTTTGTTTAGATTTCTTTTTCGTTTTTTTTTCTGTGGTCTAGTGGTTAGAGTTTGTGGCTACAGATCCAGAGGTCCGGGTTCGATTTCCGGTTCTACCAGATTTTCATAGAAGCAGTGGGTCTGGAACGGGGTCCACTCAGCCTCGTGAGGATAATTGAGGAACTATTTCAAGGAAATAGCGGCTCTGGTGTAGAAAACCGAAATTGATGACTGTGAGGATTCATTGCGCTGTCCACGCGACACCCTCTATCCGCTAAAGCTGGCACTAATTTCGCTGACAAGCGGAAGTCGCTCGGTCGATATAGTTCGCTTGCAGACTAAAACCACGGAGTTTGATTTTGTACTGATTACATACTAATTTCTATCTTTCAAAATATCAAATTTAATTGAAAATATTTTATTATTCCTTCAGTTTTAGAATTTGTTACTCGTCCCTATAACGTGGCATATCCATTACACTTCATTTTGAAGAAAATTATGTAAATAAATGAAGTATTCAGAAAATATGTTTATGAATGCACCATCAGTGTTACAATAATATGTACATAAGCTAGTGTGCAATAAAACATTGGGTTATATTTTATTCTTCCGCCAGGTCGAAAAAGTAGAGGAAAATTGCTGTAAATAATACATGAGTGCCAGACTTCTAGTCGTACAAACGTTTTATTGTTGATGTTTTATTTAGATAATGTAAATGTAAATGCAGTTTAGATTATGGGTTTGCGTGCTGAGTTTACGAAATCGAAGGATCGAATCCTCCTCTACAAACAATTCTTTATTTATTGCTTCAAAGTGTAAATATGTTAGATATTATTATGATTATTGTTCTTTCCCGAAATAACTTATTATGTAAGTATAGATTCAAACTTTGTACTAGTCGGATATAATCTTTAGCTTTCGCACTGTCGCCATGTTTCTAATCTGCTCTTATAAATAACAGTTTTGCATGTGACTTGTACGAATATTCATAATATATGTCCATATTTAATTTTTCTTACCTAGCCTCAATGGTTCGCCGGCCACAGTGTCCGCCCGGTTTATGGCATGAACCGTCTTCGACCCCTCGAACACTAGGATCGTGGCTTCGAACCCCACTCGAGGCATGGATGTCTGTGTAGGTTTATTCTGTGTTTGTGTTGTCATGTGTAGGTAGCGGCCTTGCGAAATTCTGGTCACTCGGCCAAGGAGCCCTACTGAGTCTGTATAGATTAAGAAACTGAAAAGGCGGCCAGGATCCGACATAGAACTATGGCAGCATAGAGAGAGATATTCAGTGGTTCATTAGTTATCGCTATTTTCATGAGGACATCACTGTTTCACGTCCTACAAGAGAGAATACCTCAGCAACGTTGCGTATTTTCCTAAGGTCTTCTGCCATACATCATTTTATAATCCTACATGAAGTTACTTTGCGACGAGCTGATCACCCGCCCAAGGAGTCCTACCGAATGTGTAAGATCTAGAAAAACTGAAGTGAACGGAGAAGTTCATGGAGGTAGGCCTAGGCCCACTGGGGCTGTAGTGCGAAGGAAAAAAAAAAACATGAAGTTACTAGGAACTGGAATAGCGTAATCGGTGTGGCGACTTGCTACGGACTGAACGAGCGAGGGGTCGGAATTCGAGTCCCGGTAGGGTCAAGAATTTTCTCCACGTCGTCCAGACCGCCTCTGGGGTCCACCCAACAACCTATCCAATGTGTACCGGGGGCTTTTGCCACAGTGGTAAAGCGGCAGGGGCGTGAAGCTCGCCACTCACCTCCAACTAATGCCTAGGCCAAGAAAATATGGATCTTTACATCCACTCCCCAATGCACCTTCATGGCGTAGTGCTTAATTAGCTGAGTACATGGACAACTTTTTAACTTTACGTGAAGTTGCTGTCATAAGTTAGCACGTGTCTGCCGTCTGTCCTTACTGATTATATGAAAATAAGAAGTACAGTGTTGGGATAGTCACCAGTGACATAACGTTCATGTCAGGTTTCATGGAAATCGGTCAGTGGGCTGAATATTTGCAAGTGAACACACACAAGCAGATAAAGAGACAGCATGGCTACCTTGTTGAACACATTTCTATGTTTAAAATAGAAACACAGGCTGAGGAATATTTCGCATTCAGAAAACGTTTTAAAATGATCAGCTCATTCTAGCGTCTCTGGGTTTATTTCGTAGCCTACTTTCATATATTTCGGGAAGTAAGGAATGGAATTAAGTTTCACTATATTTTAGCCTACTTTCATTATTTAAGTAGAGAAAATTAGACTTCTCAAACCACTGTTCTCTCTGTACGAGTATATGCATCTTACTTTCAACTTTTCAACCAGTAAGTCGATTTTAACAAAGTTTAGTACAGTTGTTATGCCATTGGATGCCCTGATGTTTTCCAGTTTCTGCAATAATTAATAACATGGCATAAGTACAAACCTCCGAGTTAGGAGAGACATTTAATAATAAGCCTGGACTTTATGTGCAATAATAAAACAATGCTACATTCTGGGATGTAATTCCTCATTATCTAGTGAAACTTATGTTAAGGTTAGTCGTCATCACAACAGATAATTTTATAATCAATCGTTAATTTACATATTATTAATTTCCTGCTGCATGCTACATAAAAATCCAATCTGTAAAATACTGTTTTATTATAAAATCATTTTTTGTGATGACGGCTAACCTTAACCAAATATGTTTATGACACGCAGGAGGATGTACACTGTGAAGTTAATCTAGTAAAAACTTAGCGTAATTTAGAGCAACACGCAGCCTCCATCTTCAGATTCTAAGATAAACCAAGAAAGCAAGACGTTCGTCCGAAATGTCTGTAAACATCTACTAAACTACACAGGCACGCGGTAACGTAGTTGGTTGAGGCCGTATGCTACAAGCCTGAAGGTCGCGGGATCGAATACCGATGAGGTGGATTTTTTCAATTGACCTAATCCTTCCATCCGCACTATGGCCCTGGGGTCGACTCAGCCTCTAACAGAAATGAGTACCAGGAATATTCTTGGAATATTCTTGGGGGCAAAGGGCGGCCGGCGCGTAGGGCTGACAGCCTTACCGCCGTCTATGAGCCGATTGTCTAGAAAATGTGGGAACCTCAACATCTCACAACGCTATGGGCCTCCTGTTACAGAGATACCTTTACTTTTACGTACTTAATAGGCTGGTAAGGTAAATCTTATTGAATTCGAATATTCTGTCCGGAAGCTTCACGGTTGAAAAGTAAGGCTTTGTGCGTCGACTCACCTGTTGACCTTTGACGTGCTGTCTGCCTGCAGGAGACCTGTCCACGAATGCATTGGTTATATGTTTTCTAGTCAACATATCATTATGCAGTAATTTGGTTCAATGGATAAAAGCAATACCTCACGCTACCTGAATGGAATAATATGTCTCGTTGCATAATACAAGCGACATTTACGATGTAGGTATGTACGTATGTAGGTCGTTAAAGCCGGGTCCAGACTTGTTGCCTATCCCCGTATCGTATCTCCGTTGCGTATCATCCGATGTAACGCAACAAAATTTTGCATCCAGACTTGTTGCGTATCTCCGTTGCGGATCAACCGATGCAACGTGACAAAATTTCTCCTCCAGAGAAGGCAACGAGGAAATGACGAGCTGAATCTCAGTTTCGAGCCAGATTTCAGTCAGCAGTGACTACACCTAACCTGAAGCTAGCAGCGGCCGCGTACGTCTATCTTCACTGTGCTATAAAGGAAAGAAGAAAGAAATCAGGACGTTTGTGGATATCGCCGATCTATGCCAGTAGGAAAGCATACAGTGGGTCCCATCTTTTGGCGGACTTAAATTTTCAGTCAGTCAATGGGATGTACAAAAATTTCACAAGGATGCATTCGTCAGATTTTGAGTTATTGATAAATTTGATCGGGCCGAAAATTTTTAAAAAAAGATACCGTGTTCAGAAAAGCAATTCCTGTTCAGGAGAGATTGGCTGTAACACTGTGATTTTTGGCAACTGGAGCCTCATACGTCAGTCTTCAATGCCCCTTCAAAATATCGAAGCAAACAATCGGCACCATTGTTCCTGAAGTTTGTGGCGCTCTTGTGGAAGCACCGAAGGACTTCATTAAGGCTAGTGAATACTTGTTATTAACCACTAAATGAAGCAAACCATATGGTTTCTTGTTTCTTGATTACTTTATTTGATATTTCTGAAATAAAACAGAGCTTGCACATTGAAGCAAAACTAAACTTGAAATATTGATTTGTTTCATTGACTTAATTTTGATGCAAGTATTTCTGCATTAAAGGCACTCGTGTAAAATCCTTACATAAACACATTTATATACCTTTATATAAGGTCCTGAATAAGGAAGTCGTCTTCTGATTCCGTAGCTGGTGAAGGAGATTGAGGGGAGGAAACTGTTGAAGGTGTATTCAGGACAGGCTGCTGATTGTTGCTCGGAAAATATTGCGGGGAAGAAGTTGGGTAGTGGGCATTTGGTGGCCCTTTGTAGTAGAGGAAAGCATTTGGGCCTGTTCCGTAAGTCGCAGTGTTGTAATTTTTATAAAAACCACTGCTTTCCCTAAGAACAATACTCATGGTATCGTTCTGGATAGCACAGCGAATACATTCATCGTGTACCTTCAATTTGCAGGCGACCAAATTTCCAAAGTGTTGGCATTCGTCGCGATGCAACGCGTGCACGTCCAGACTGGCACCACTGCAACGCGTGTCGTCCCTTTGATGCGACGGGAAAAGACCGCCAAGTGAGCGAACAGCCCGTTGCGTATCACCGTATCAACATTTTGCAACGGAAGGATGATACGGGGTACCGTCCACACTGATACGATACGGAGATACGCAACAAGTCTGGACCCGGCTTAATACGTCATAAGATGGGAGTAACGGGTAGCATGCGTGCAGTAGAAGTTAACTTGAGGGACAGCCCATGCCATTATTCTAGACACACATGGAATAAAGGTAAAAATGGAACCACAGGTGGAAGGAAGAGAAGGCAAGAAAGGAGGAAAGAGAAAGACCGCTTAAAAATGACAGATTCCATTCATGGCTCTGTTAAAGGTGATCTTCATCTCTAACCAAGAGAATGTTAGTGCTGCAGTCAGCCCGATTCCCCTTCTGACCCAGCCCTGTATTTCAGTCTTGGGTTAATCTCATATGCAGGAAATATTCAGCTTGGAAATCCTGAGAATTGCTGAGGAGTGAGCGAACCTGGGAAATTCGACGACGAGCCGTAAATAAGATTTGAAGGCGTAAGTTTGAATTATTTAAGTCAGAACAGGGCCCGTTGAAATATCGGCTTCCATAGCAAAAGTGACTTCCTCCTGCATCGCCTGCGTCACTCCGACTTGCTGAAGGAAGAGTTTATTTTAAAGCTTGCCAGATCGTGCATTTTCTCTTCGTGTGTTCCGTACCTTTAATTGTCTCTCGCCTTCAAGCTTCTTAGACCATTTATTAATAAGTCATATAATCGAACTTTGTGCGAACAGATGTAGGTATTGCAGTCCCAAGAAGACCCACAAGCAGGCTTTCCATGTAGGCTGACAGAGTAAGTTTCTTTAATCAAGTTATTTTAAATTGACTTGACTACTTTTAGTGAAGGTATTACTATGAGCAGTCGCAAATCTCGCTAAACACTCGGAGTTCTTACAAACTGTTGATCGCTTTGAAAATTGATTCGAGATGGCGTTGGACATGAAGGATTAAAAAAAATTGTTTTATTAGCACATTTGATTGTTCTCGTGGTTGTGTTGCTGTTCAGAAAACATGTCATCGAGTTTTCTGTTTGTGTTATGCCAGTCAGAGATGTTGTTTATCAGCTTATCAGACAGTTTGAGGGAACAGGAACTGTGTGACAAACGTACAAGGAAATATCAACGTAGCCGATCGATTCGTGCGAAAGATTTTATCAATAAAACAGTGGAGGCAATAACAGGCCAATGAAAAATGAATCTGATTTTATCATAAGAGTTAGGGGCCTCGAACAGCACAAAAAGAAAGTCTGTTAAGACGGTTTTTTGTTATTATATCCACGCAAAATTAATTTTAGTTAATGACTATAGGACAACGTAAGAGAGCAACGGATTGCTTTTACGTACGAGTGCAAAACTCTGTCTGAAGATTATCCGGGCGTTTTGGATGTCACGTGGCTCTTATTTCCATTCGGATGGTCACGTGGTGGATTTTGGGCCGCAGAATTCCTTGATATGCTGTTGCTAACACACGGCACACAAGTTGTGCGTTGTCAGATGTCATAATATCCACTTTTGCTGTTCACCTGATTCTACTAAGAGTTTAAATTATCGCTTCCCTGTTTTCACACTAAACAGTTCAAAGATTTAGGAAGGACAGTAACAAATCAGAATTTGATTCAGGAGGAAATTAAGAGGAGATTGAATTCGGGTAATGTTTGCTACCGTTCATTCCAGAAGCTTTTGTCCTCTCGTCTGCTGTCTAAATATGTAAAAATTAGAATATACAAAACTATAATTATGCCTGTGGTTCTGTATGGGTGTTAAACTTGGTCTCTGACATTAAGGAAGGAAGACAGAATGAGGGTGTTTAAGAATATTTGGGCCGAAGAGGGATGAAGTGACAGGATGCTGGAGAAAACTGCATAATGAGGAGCTTCATAACATGTACTATTCTCCAAGTCAAGGAGGATGAGATGCGCAGGGCATGTAGCATGAATGTGGGCGTGGAAGAAATGCATAAAATACCGGGTGGGAAAGCCAGAAGGAAGGAGACCACTAGGAAGACCTAGAGATGGGTGGGTGGATAATATTAAAATGATTATAGGATAAGGGGTGGTATGGACTGGATTGATCTGTCTCATGACAGGGACCAGTGGAGTGCTCTTGTAAACACTGTAATGAACCTTCAGGTTCCATAAATTGCTGGGAAGATCTTGAGTTGCTGCACAACTGGCGGCTTCTCAAGAAAGGCTCAGCTCCATGAAGTTAGTATGAATACAGCTTGGTTTCAACAAGTCGGACGCAGACCTCACATCTGCAGCGTATCAGAGTTTCTCAGATAATGTTCTTTCGTAGATTGAGGTTGGGCGCATGAGCTCTGTACATCTCGATTTAGTTTTAACAATAATAAAGCATTGGGCCTCTATCTTCCTCCATTTTATATACATCCATACGAATGTGCTCAAGCGGTGAACTCCTTTACTTACCTTCATCTTGGTTCCATGCAGTTATTTGCTTTCACTTGATATTGATTGTTGAGACCCTGCGTTTTGTGCACAGGTGGTACAAGGAAGGGAACACATATCCTCTGGAGGCAGAGACGCGGTCTGGTAATTCGAGAGACTCCGTCACAACGGCAGTACTGACGCTGACGCCTTCCCGCGGTGACGATGGGGCCGCATACCGCTGCGTCGTGTGGAACCGGGCCATGCCCGAAGGAAGCAAACTGGAGGCCAGGGTGACGCTCAACGTGAACTGTAAGTTGCCCACGATCATACCACTGCATGGCCCGCATCATCGCTTGCTGCATGCCTACCCGCCTGCTTATTTATGTCTGTTTATATATAGCTATCTCTGTCTATATTTATCTGTATCCATCTAGCTATCTCTCTCTATGTCCGCCTTATTTATCTGTCTGCACAGCTACATATCATCTCTCCCTTTCGGTTCAAGTATATATGCATTTCTATCTCTCCGCCTTTCTGTCTCCATATTTTCCTATATATTGTCACGTATCCTGGTAACGCAACAAGTAATTTGTGGGTTTTCTTGATTGATGGATCCATTTATTTGACGTCACATTCGGTTATAACAGTTCACACACTCAACTCCTTCCGGGTAACAATCCCACTCTGCGAAGCTCAGCTTCGTTCTCCAAAGCACGTTGATTCGCTGCCGAGTCATTTCCCCTCTTCTTCCTCCTCCTCTCGTATTCTGATCTCTCCTGGTACCACTACTAAAACGCAGGAAATATAAGAGTCACACTCCAGATATCACTGCACTACAGCACAAATAAAGTCTCCAAACACACGTTAAATCTTCTACGAACTTCCTGTGGCTGTGTTCCACAGAGGACTCCGAATTCTATCACTGTCACTGAACTGTAGCGCCGTTTGTTTTTAAGATAACTCCTTTGCACGGATCCTACGAAAAACACAGTCTCCCATTGTTATGGATGCATGTTTACCGCTGCGTTGCATGGCAACAGACTTCCTATATATACCCATGATTCTGCTCGGCGCGAATCGCACAGAAAACACAGTTTCCCTTCTGTTGTTGCCTCTATTCGTGTTTACGGAGCTGTTGCCTGGCAATGCGTTGATCAAAGCCGTTGCAATATACTTGTGTGTGTGTGTGTGTGTGTGTTTCCATCTATCTACGGGATTTGTTCTGCCTGTCTTCTATCCAACTCTCTTTTCATTCGTCAGTCTACCTACGCAGCTGATCACGGGGGCTGAGTTGTCTAAGGCATGAACCGTCTTAGCCCACTCGAACACTGGGATCGTGAGTTCGAATCATACTCTACGAATGAATGTCTGCTTACGTTTGTTCTGTGTTTGTGTTGTTCTGTGTGTATGTAGTCGACTTGTAAAGGGCTAATCCCTCGTCCAAGAAGTTCTACCGACTGTGTATAGATCAAGAAAATGAAAATATGCCCGAAGTCCACAAGGGCTGTAGAGCCATACATAGATAGTCTACACAAGTATCTTCCCGCGTGTCGGATCTATATTTAGCATTCCTTTGAAGTGTTAGCCCATTTGCAGTAATTGGACTGAGACCATATTTTATCCATAAGCTGCGCCATAGCTGAAGCGGTTAGTAGCTGGCTTCCCACCGCGGCGGCCCGGGTTCGAACGCGGGACTGGTCAAGTGGGATTTGTGGTGGACAAAGTGGCGCTGGGGCCGGTTTTCTTCTGAGTACTTCGGTTTCCCCTGCCAATCATCATTCCACCAAATTCTCCATCATCATAATCACCCAGGGCAGGCTACAATAGGCCAATCAGTGGCCGCCGTGCCGAGTGGATCCAGTTGGACTCCACCCCTCACTAAGCGAATTCAAATACTCGTATTTTATCCATAAATTTTAGTATACACCGATAAACCAAATTTCATGAATTTCCATTCATGCATAGTGGTAACTAAGTTTGTTATTTAACGTCGCCGTTAGTGTCGAGACTGTATGTACAGTGTCAACTTAGTGTTAACAGTGAGGCCATCATAACGGACAACGCGCCTGATTCGTGTTTAGATTCAAGATGCGAGTCTCAGGCTGTGAATCAGCGAACCAGTCTGATGTTTTTCGTGATTTCTTTCGAGTACCCGCAGGCATATTCTAGCACATTACCGTATCCTTCGCAACTCGACAGTCACACAGCCTGCCAGCCAATCGACGCTATAACCTTTACAGTCGAGGAAAGTTTACCGTATAACGTACAAATTAAACTTCTAACGGTATTAATTGTATGTTGATCACAAGATAGCCGACATATGGCCCACGGCTATGTTGACACGTGAATAATATGATGCTGCAACAGTTTTTGCTCTCTTACACATGGTGTAAAGGTTCGGCCACACAGAGCGCTACGCTATGTTCGCTACGTACGCTATGTACACTCTGCGACGCAGCTAACATAGTGAACATAGCGTACGTAGCGTGCGTCGCGTACGTGGCGCTCTGTGTGGCCGAACCTTAAGATCATACTAATTGTAAAAGCAAATAAAATAAAATAAATTAGAATCTAGATCATAACAGAAATGCAAGTTTTGGGACGTTTAATACTTGTATTTATGTACCTGAATTTCGGTGTGAGAAAATTAGGAGAAGTCTTTCAGATTTTTGGTTTCAGGTGTGACTTAACTCTCTTGTTAAGAATCCAAGCCTATCAACCAGCTCGGATACTTATAGAAATTTCTCACAACACTTTTCTATTCGCTGTCCCCCGTGCAGGTCTGCAAGGTGTAAAATGGACGCCCAATCCATACTGTCACATGCAGGATGGTACGCGTGACGAAAACGATAGCGTCGGATGGTTGGATTTATTGACACTTTGGTTACAATCTCTCTTAATCATTTTTACTACAGCGCTATCGCTGATTTACACACACTGGTTCTCTTCTGATAACACAATTAAAACACAGGAACTAGCGCTTCAAGCCACTCCAAATATTACATATGAACAGTCTTCCAACCGCACTTTAAATGTTCACAAGTCGACGAACTTTCCACAGCTGTCTCCTACCGAGAACTCAGAACTCTTGTCGCTCACTATTTTTTTTTTCTTTATATGACAGTTACTGTCCTGTTCATTTGGGGCGTCCTCTCTGACGAGAGGTCGGGTCTGTCATTTGTCGGCCTTGGTTATTCTTGGGAATCTCGTTATATAGTCGCTGCATGGACCACACAGAAAACAGTCTGTCTATTATTGAGGTTCGTTTGCCGAGCTGTTGCACAGCAACTGTCGCGGCTCGGACCCCCTAGAGAATAGTATCTCTATTATTGCGTAAAATACCGTGTTTACAGAGCTGCTGGCTAGCAACCCTTTGATCAAATCCGTTACAATACATTTGTTAATAAAACGCAAAAAAACGAACGAAAACTCAAGAAATAGAACGAAAAATTTCGGTAATATTCCCGATCTGTTCTCTCGCTAGGCCAACTATTCCGCCAACTTTCGTATCCTTCCATGTCTCAGATAACTTCCCATGATGTGAAATTCATACCATAAGAATGAACAATTGAAATTTAGTAGCTTTGCTGACCGCCGGATGCAGTTGGGAACGCTGCCAATATTTATCTGGAGTATGTTCTGCTCAGAAGTGATTCCCTGCTGGTAACCTCATCGTATTTCAGTGGACGTCTGGCCCGGAACATCGTCCGATTAATTTCAACTGATAAGGAATACGAAAAGTCGTGTTATATATAGTTCGGTAACATTTCTCTTGATTCGGACGGATTTACGAGGCAAGAAGCCTGCATCCAGCGGACCTCAAGTGACTCACCGGACTGCCTGGTGTGGCTCGCGGCTTAATCTGACGATCAGAAAGCGGAAAATATTTACGATATGACAGATAGTGGGATTGTTAAGCTCCTGGTTGACGTACTTCCGCCAATAAAATCATAAGAACTGGCAATTATTGTGTGGGCCGCACTGACATGTATACGTTCATGCAAAACTCCTGCTTGCTGCCGTCACATATGTAATGCTTTGTAAATCTGGATGACATAGCGATCATAAAGATCGAAAAGCTTGGACAGCGTTTTCAATTACACACTTAATGGGCGTTGTTGCTGTTGTCGTCGTTGTGAGTATTATTCCGAAATTTAATTTTCATCAACTATGACCGCGCCATAGCTCAAGCGGTTAGTCGCTGGCTTCCCACCGCGGCGACCCAGGTTCGATCCCTGGTCTGGTCAAGTGGAATTTATGGTGGACAAAGTTGCGCTGGGGCGGATTTTTTCCCAGTACTTCGGTTTCTCCTGCCAATCTTCATTCCATCAAATTCTCCATCATAATCACCCGGGGCATGCTATAATAGGCCAATCACTGGCTGCCGTGCCGAGTGGACCCAACTGGACTCCACCCCTCACTAAGCGAATTAAAAAAAAAAGGAATTAGTTTTCATCAATATGCGTTATAGCTACAAACAGCATCTAAAAAAATTCTGGACTTATTTTAATAGATACACAATTTTCCTTTAGAATTTTTTCCCTATTTTTTCAGTCCTGTCTCTGTGGTCTAGTGGTCAGAGTTCCTGCCTACAGGTCCAGAGGTCTCGGGTTCTATTCTCAGCGCTAACAGATTTTCTGAGAAGTCTGGAACGGGGTTCACACAGCCTCATGAGGATAATTCATAGATAGTTCATAGATTCATACCCTGTTTCTCTAAGGTCAGTTTTAATATTATCCTCCCATTTACGCCTAGGTTTTATAAGAAGTCTCGTCCCTTGAGGTTTGCGGGCTAAAGTTTTGTGTGCATTTAGTTCTTCTCCAATGTGTTTTACGTGTCCCTTTCATCGCATTCTCTTTGAGTGTTCCTTGTGACAAAATTACATGAAGAATAAAAATTCTGAAGCTACCCACTCTGTAAGTTCTCCATTCTGTTGCCTAAATTCAGTTTTTCTGAGCCTAGTACTTCAGGGTGATGCTGATACAGCTACGAACGTTGAAATCCTTTTGACACCAAAATTAATAGAGCGGGAAGCAAAACAGGCCGAGGGGAAGATTAGTGTGCTGTTGATTCCAGAGGATAAATGCATGACAAGTAAACTTGCACCTCGATTGGTTGATTAGAGAGCAGACATGGAAATAGATCGCTAATTAGTTTTGAGTTGCGCAATATAGTGGTTCATGTCGCATCTCATGATGTGTGCTCGAGGCTGTAATGCTAATTTCAGATAAGCTGTATGACATAGCTATTATTGATGCTGAAGCTCTTAACACGTTGAGGAAGCACTTCCTAATAGTTCAGACAGGAGC